GAACCCGGGCCCGCGGGCGGTGGGGGGGGGGGGGGGGGGGGGGGGGGCTGTCTGTGCATCCACAGAGTCCTCTGACCGAAAGGGGGAACCCCCAAGGAAGCCTGAGCTCAGAGCAGGCTGCGAGCTTCTGGGGGGACGGGGTGCTCTGTGGGCCTCACTTCTACCCCCGCCCCACCAGGACCATCAGTAGGTGCCCAAGCCGAGCAGGATCTGGCTAAGCTCCTGTCCCCTCTAAGCTCCCCACCCCGGGAATTGCTCCAGCAACCCATTCCCTGGCTGCAGACGAGGTGCTCCAGACCAGAGGCTTTTTCTAATCTTGCGGCCTGAGCCTGGAGGCACCTCTGACCTCCTCCTTGCATGGTATTTTCTGGGCAAGGTACCCACCGACTAAGAAGTTGTTCATCGATTCACCCCAAATATATGCCAGGTACCTACTGCCAGAAACAACTCTAAGGACTGGGGCAGAGCTGTGGGCCATCCAAGCCAGTCTCTGCCCTTCGGGAACTCAGAAACCTGTTCATTCGGCAACAAAGCTCTTGCTGCCCCTGCTGGTGACATCCTGGGCTTTTCTGTGCAGCGTGGACAGTGGTGTCTGAGCACTGCTGGGCCCCGGCCCGGGGAAGGGGAGCTCCAGGACCAGCTGAATCCACTCTGGGGAAACCCCAGCCAAAACTGAATTTGGACCTGTGGAAGCTTTAAGGCTGGAAAAGCCTATGGTAGCCCTCAGCCCCAATGTGTAATTGAAAATAAAAACCCAAACAAATCTCGAAGTAAAGTTAAGCAAGATTAACAAAATTCTGATTTTTCCCCACGATGGTGACTTAAGGCTTTCCTTCTAAATGTTAATTATCAAATTCTTCCTCAAAAAATTCTTTTAGGTCCCCAAGCTTTAAGGGTGCCCTATACACTGTCCAAAGCAAACTAGAGCAGGATTACGTGAGTGGCCCAGGAGTGTGGGCCCCAGGCTTCATCTTGCCCTCCTTGTTCCGAGGGAGTCTGATCCAGTATGTGAGTCTCGACAGCAGGAGAGGCCTCGGGGGTGACAACCCTTGGGGTCAGATGGTGGCTGCAGTGTGGCTGGAGCAGGCCCCAGTGGAAGCCTGGACACAGAGAGCATGACCTGCCCTCCAGGCTGGACATGATGTGGAGGTCTGGCCATCCCAGGGGGAGGGCAAGTTAGAGCCTGGCTCCTGTGGAGAAGGGTCTGCGCTGGAACCCCTAAGTGTGGCTCAGTGGGCCCCTCGGTGTCCAGCACACACCAGGCACCCTGGATGCAGCCCCACCTCCTGGGATTGCCGAGACTCCAGGGCTCTTCACCCGGGGGCAGGTAGAGTCTCAGCAGCAGGTAAGGGCATGGGGAGTGGACAGCGTCACTATGTCAGAACCCTCCTGCTCCCTGAGCCCAGCTCTCCTCACTAAATACCTGTGGTCCTTTCTTACAGAGCGATGAGGTCCTCACTGTCATCAAAGCCAAAGCTCAGTGGCCAGCCTGGCAGCCTCTCAACGTGTAAGTAGCAACAGGGCCCTGTCCAGCCCCCGGCCTGGTCTTGTACGTGGAGCCACCCGCCTCCTGGCCACCGCATGCCAGTTATGTCGTAAAAGTCAGCACTGCCTCTCAGGTGGCTGAGCAGGTGAGGTGCACTGCTCATGCGTGCAGTACCAAGTGCCCCTAACTCCTCGGGGAATGCAGGCTTGGTCTCTGTCCCCCATGGCTTTAACGTTGCAGAGGACCCCACTCAGACACTGGAGGTGTTAAGAACACGGTTAACTATAAAGCTTTGAAAATCAGGGGGAGAATTCTAAACTGAGATATAAAATTGAGGGTCACCAAGGAATGGGAGACAATCAACACTAAGGACATGGCTGAGAGACAGCTTGAGAATGAGAGTCAAGGGCTTGGGACTGAGTCCCGAGGAGCTCCAACATTTAATGCTGAGGAGGAGTTGCCTGCAAAGGAAGCAAAAAAGGAGTAGCAAGGAGATTGGGGAAGGAAACTTGGTAACAGGGAAGCCAAGGGAAGAAAGCATTCAAGAAGGATGGCTGTGTCCAGGGCAGCTGAGAGATCAAGGAAGACCAGAGTTGCACAATGCCAGTTGGATTTATGACCATCAAGATCATCAGTGACCTTATTGGGAATCCTTTCTGCTGAGTTATGGGGGGAGGGTAAAAAGCCTGCAGCAGGGTGAAATGTGAACAGAAAGTGAGGTTATGGAGTCAGTGAGTACAGACAACTCTTCTGTGAAGTTTGATGTGAAAGAAGAGAGACTGGGTGGGCAGTAGCTCCAAGAGGATGAAAGAATCAATGGAGCTTTTTTTTTTTTTTCCTGAAGATTCAAAAAAAATATTTGGGGACACCTTCCCACCCTTCACCCATCCCTCAGATATCTTGAGACCCCAGTGGAACAGAATTCATCCATGGCAAACACTCAGATTTCCCAAATTCCCAAAGCCTCTCCACTCAGTGCTACCAGCTTGTTAAGGGAAAGGAATTTTCCTTTGGTTTTTCCCATACCCCAGTCTCCCCTTTCCTCTTCCAAATCTCATTAGGAAGTCAAATTAGGAAGCCTACACGCAGCCAAGTTTTGTTTTGCAGAAACAGCCCTGCCCCTCCTTGTGAGCCTGCTCTATTGAGGTTAATGGGATTCCAGCCTCCCTCAGCCCAGTGGAAAGCCAGGGTGACCTACTTTGTGAGGTCCTGCCCAGAGAAACTGACTTGTTTTTCAATGATGTTCATCTTTATCCCCAGGACCACTTCTCAAAGGACAGCCATGAATGAACAAATTAGCTGCTGACTTGTTTAGCTCAATAAATCAAGCTGTGGCTCCAAAAGCCCAGAGTACAGGTAGAGACACAGGAAAGACAAATTCTGAGCAAAAGCCACATCCTCCACAAGGTCTTCCGGCACCTGAGTAGAAAACGCCCAGGTTTCCTGCAAATCAATGCTGAATTTCCACCATCCATTTCCTCCAGTTAAGTCTGACTGTTAGGAATTACTGGAACTTTTAAAAATAAATTTTATTGCTTATGATGAATCCTCTAAAGGACTGTAGTCTCCTTAATTATTCCCATCCATTCTGATTAATTAACATTTGTTTAGACAGATCTGTTTGTGAGACAGATGAGAGGCAGGTGAAATAGAGACATGGTCACCCTTTCCAGAAATCATGCCTCTGGAGGGTCTGTGCCCCCTTAATCATCCCAGCCATGGTTCCCAAGGGGGCCAGAGGCATCTTTCTGTCAAATCAGGGCTGGAAGTTTCAGGGTGCTCCCGGTCTCCTGAAGAACCTGCTCAGGTCCGTTGATGTCCCCAGGATTGTAAAGGAAGACTGGCCTTGGACTAGAGAACGCAGAGGTCTAACAGGCCAGATGGACTTGGAGCCCTAGATGCCTCCAAATTAAAAACAGAGTTGTCCAAGGCAGAGACCTCTCTGAAACCTTCCTCCAGCCACACAGACTTCAGCCTAGTGAATGGCTCTAGCACCGCCTAGTGTCGATAATGAGTTTCTGCAACTTTGAAAGCTCTTTATTGAGGATTATTTGAAACGAACAAGAGGGACAGAACTCGGCATATGAGTGACCTGAATCTCACAGATATGGATCTGTAACTTAGAATGGTATAGTAAGTCTCTAGAAGGACCATAAAAATCCTTTATTGCCTCTTTTTCTTTCATCGTGTTTTTGAAAGCTTTGTTTAGAAAAGCGGAGTGAGAAGGAAATCAACATTTACCAAGTCCTTTTATGGTGCCAGTCACGATGATAAGCCATTTCCTCACTAAAAGCCCTGGGGTGGGCCTGAGGATGCTCCCATTTTGCAGGTTAGTAATTGTAAAGGGAGACGAGGTCAAAGCTGCTGTCACATAGCTAATAAGTGACTGAACCAGGGCTCAAATCCAGCTGTCTCTTCCAGTCCCCTTTGTTCTCTCCCACATCACGCTGCCTCTCTGAATGTAAAAAGGCACAAGATATCTCTGTGTCTTCATTTGGTTTTCATTTTTCTGGTATGAATTGTCTGTTCATAACTTTCCTTTACCTATTGGGATTGTGGTGTTTTTGGTTGGTTGTTTTTTTTTTAACAGATTTGGACTAGCTCTGTACATACCATAGATATTAACATTTGTCAGTCAAACTAGAGACATTTTTGCTAACACGTCATTTTTCCTTTCTAATTCAACACTGTTGTTTCCATTATGCAGATGTTTTTAGTTGGTATATAATTCAATTACTTAATTTTGTGATTGCTTTTATTGTTTCAAAGCTGAGAAAATTAACGTTTGTCTAACAGATCAAAAAACTTGACTTTTTTTTCCTATCATCTGGTTGTTTTTTACTTAACTCAGTTTTTGCTGTTTGGGGGGATGTGTGTGTGTGTGTGTGTGTGATATTACATGTGAATACCGTATTTTTTTAAACTGCAATTAAGTAAGCCCAACCCCACTTGTTGCATGATCTTTCCCCTCCCCCTCACTTTTATATGAGTCCTTATCTAAAGTTTCTGGAATCTTCAGCCTGTGCCACTGATCTATATTTCTATCTTATCCTGGATATTACACCGTTTTCATTATCATACGTTATAGTATATTGTTATATGGTATGGCCAGATCAATTCTCTTTGCCAGAAAAGTGATAAAAATTTAAATCCCAGATAGAAAAATAAGATCAAATTAATAAATACTTTATATGGGAAGACATGGCATATAAGAAAGGCATGAATAAGAATTTTTATTATGGTTTGGACAAATTAAAAAATTCCAGTCATATCTAGCGTTTCCTAAAGAAAACTCACATATATTCTTATCCATTTCATTATTTTAAATAGCATTTTTATTATAGAAGTAATAAATACTTTGAGGTAATTTTAAAATTAGGTCTGGGGGCTTCCCGGGTGGCGCAGTGGTTGAGAGTCCGCCTGCCAATGCAGGGG